GTTTTAACAAGATACAAATATTTAGTTTAGATTTTTTATTCAATTTTTTACAACACAGAATGTTGATAATAGTGTAAGTACAGTAATTAATATACCTTTTTCATTTATACTGTACTAATAAACCTGTATCATTTATAACTGTACTAATGTATTTCATTAATCATTTAATTCAAATTTAATATGTAATTTCCTTTAGTTTCTAGCAGTCCATGGTGCTTTAGAGACATGGGAGGGGTATAATTAGTGGGTCAAAGGTGTGTTGTTGAATAATTATTATGTGACCTCTGTTGGTCTGGCAAAATGGATAATCTGGCAAGGCTCTGGAACCAAGGGTGCCGTAAAACTGGTGGTGTACCTGTATTAACAATTTTTTCTGTAAAATTTTCTATTCTAAAACTAACTGTAGCAAAACCATCAATGTAAGTGAAATGAAAAATTTTAAAAAAAAGCATGAAATAAAATACAACTTTTTTTTGGTCTAGAATGGCTGCAGATTGTAACAGGCAATTCTAAGTTACTTATCCTATCAGCTTCTGCCTTTTTCAAATCTTCCTTTCAATTTTATGGTTTTTAATGCTGTACTTTGGACCCCCTACTGCAAATGAAAAGCAATAAATCACAGCAAGAGTCCATTAGCTGTTTCCTTTACTCTTAACATAAACAGCAGGACAGGTTACACATACTGTGAATTTGAGTACTCTATCCACTGAGCTTATAAAACTTCAAATTAATTATTTTACAGAAATATTGTTACCTTAGCTAAGAAGTTCCTAATTTAAATATTTGATTTACTTTTGGTAAAGATTATATAATAATAAATAAAAAACATACATAAAAAAACAAGGATTAAATACTGAATGACATTAAAGACAATTTTTGCACTCAAGTAACAGTGTTTGGTAACCCTTGTTGTTTGTTACAAATTTGAATCTGCAAAAAAGAATTCATATAGCTTTCAACTATGAATCTTAAAACACATAAAATATGTTCTAAAACTATTACAATTTATCTGCCTTTCTGAGTAAGTTATGAATAACTGAAAAAATTCCTTAATCCTATGCTTCCAGGCCTGGCTCTTTTGGATATCTCAAGATGGTTTACATAGTTGTATGTTAATAATAAACTGAACATGTAACATAGTTTATAATTGATAATAATAAATTTAAATATTATTCAACATTTAATTTCTAATTTTAAACAAATAATCATTAAAATCCTCAATATTATTTTTTCTGTGTGTTAGAAATTTATAACTTCAATAGTAGGCACCTATAGTTTCCAACCAATAAGCACAAATTACACATATACTTAGAAACAAAAACCTGAAATTTGAACCTCCTACTTTCTTGACTTAAGCCATCAACAAGTTTGTTAAACTCACCACAGAATCTTTCTGACTTCCAAGATTGTAGAACATGATGATTTATCATATCGTTAACTTTACTTTGTCTAAATAGAACCAACATAAATCAGGGTTGTTTATAAGAAGAGTTAATTAGGTCACTTTTCCCCTCTAACTTCTACTTTTGTAAAATGTCACTGTTTTGGTAAACAGAAATATTTTTTATAGTATCAATGTTATTGATCCAAGCCTGGGTCTCTGTATATTCATGACCTTTTGCAGTGTTTCATTCACATTTTAATTAAACTTTATTATCAGTGTATTTCAATAAACTTGGCATTAAAATATAGTTTATAGTTCAAATTTTAATATTATTATAATTATTAATTTCTTAATTTCAAAGGAAAATATCTAAATAAATCTCAGTCTTAACTTCTGTGTATCACATGTCACTTCTTCCTCCAAAATGCCCATTTTTAGATTGTCTTTTTACCAATATATGGCTTTCTGATTTGGAAACACTTATGAAATAAATACTACTAAGACATAATATATGACTGCATCATACAATCTTTTGGCATTCCTGAAATATATGCCAGAAAGTTAAACCCACATGTCATGCCCTCCTACTTTTTACTATCTTCCAACAAATGTCAGTAAGTCTGATACTTACTGTTGGATAATCATAAAAAAAAGAAAGTGAAGATCTCAATTCACTGTTTTCCATATAAAGCTAGCTCATTTTCAGGATAGGTTTTTGAATTATTTGGCCTACACACTGATTTTCTGCTATTGCTTGGATCAACTCGACAAGATATTATAATTGCATATTTGAAATAAATAAAAATTATTTCATATACCACCAACAGGGGCCAAGAGCAAATAAAAACAAGAGGCAAGAAGTATTAATTTGTTATTTTTTGAAGTATACTTTTAATTATTTATTGTTATTAAAGTAAGTAAAATGCAAAAATTAGATTTAGTAGTTAGGCATGGTTCAAAGAGCAATAAAACAATAAAATTAAATGAAAACCATTTGTGAAAATGTTAGAAACCTAGTTTTTGGGATGAATAATAATAATAATTGTCATTCTAGAAGAAAAATGTATTCTTGATTGAATTTTTCAACTTTTACTACAGATGATTTTGCTACGGTTAGTGTCTTGGTAGAAAAAATAAGATAAAGTATTACATTTTACAGAAAAAAAGTTTTAATTTTCATGTAGATTGTAGAGGTTAAACAAATGAAAAATGAATAATGTAACATGAAAATCAATTTATTCTTTCTAAAACATTTTCTAATTCTACTGCCTTTTGAAAATTAGCTACAGCTCACATGTTTGATAACAGTACATCTGAATATTATACCAAGTAGATTACACAGATGCACTTTGCTAAAACCATTTCTAGAAAACACTAATGAACTTTTTTATATGCTACTTTGTTCTACCTGTTCTTGTAAGGCCTGTATTTTTCGTTGCCTTTCATCTTCACTGTTCTCATTTTCTCCATCAGAACCACTAGATGATAATGAACTAGAACTACTACTTCTGGATTCTTCTGGCTTTACCGTTTGTGTGGCTGCAACTGGCTCTGCCATGGCTGAGTCATCAGGCATTTTGGCATAAAGCATTTCAAATACATCCTGCAAAGAAATAACTAAGTATTAAATAACAGCTGTATACTTCAGTTAATATAAAAACTTTACAGCCTCAATCTTAGTCCATTTTACTATTTAAAGTCTAACCTCTTGTTGATGAATATATGTCATTAGTTTTCATCTCCTCTTCCTCCTGCTACTACTTTTCCATTTAACATATATGATTTGTGATAAATTAAAAAGCAATTGGATAATTCTGATGTATTAAAATAAGGTACTTATGGACCCTGTTAATCTGGTGATGAGTACCTTATGAAGTGAAACAGGAATATATAACACTGATGCTTAAAGTATGTCAAAGTGTTTTGTGGTTCTTGAATCATACCTAATGTTCACTTTATTTCAAAAATGTAATTTTTACCTTTTATAGGTCAATCAAATACCTATGTACTTTACTGTAAGCAGGCATAATGTAAAAGAAAAATATACATTATTTTGTGTACATAATTAAAACCAATTAAGTATACTGAAACGTGGATGCTAATTGCACTAGTAATAACCAAATTAATAAATTCTAGTTTATTGCATCACATGTATTAAGTAGTGTAAGAAATACTGAGAAAGGAAACAATTTGAAACTGTTACAATTAACGTATGCTTTATAATACACATTAATAATCAATTTCAAGCAGGATAATCAATTTCAAGGAAAAATGTAGCTATCTAGTACAAAGCTTTTAGGTTCAGTATAAGACTTACACTTTCTTACCCAAAAATATGGCTTTAAAAAATGATAATTTTAAATAATCTTTCAATTATATGAACAAAATATATTTACAAATCCTAATTAACATAAAATACTCCATAGTTTGCTGTGTGCACTATTTAATAGGAGGTGAATACAAAAAAATCTTCAAAACATTGGTGAAACTACTTATAACTGTTGAATTCCACAAGTTTTTCATGTCTTGTAAAATCATTATGCAATTCTGAAAAGAATCATACCAATTTTGTGTTTATAAGCTAAAGGATAAACTATTTGTCATAAAACTTATATTGCTTGTAAAGTTTATAAGCATGAACATAATTTCTTTTCTTTTTCCTTACCAGCCACAAAACCTATTTAGAAATTACCATATTTCATGATTAATTTTCAGTTCTTTTCATGTATTTTTTGGTTAAACAAATACTACAAGACAGCCTACCAGGAGAACTTGAAATTATTCAAATAACTCAAACTTTTAATTCTGCAAACAAAGGTTAAATGGGCAGCAACTTCTTAGTTTGGTGGGAGAAAGTAGCACAGATGGACAAGAACGACAGTACGAAAAATTTCCATCTTTTGTATTCAAGGCAGCTTGCACTGATTTTGCAGGGGTTTATAAGCTGTCTGGGATGATTAAGGGAGAGATGACATGACTGGTTCATGGAGAAATAACATAGTTTAACACAAGATATTTAAAAGCATATAGAAATAAGTTTGCCTACAAAGCAAAAGAGCCATGTAATTGTGAGTTCCTATTCCCTAATCCCATACAAAAGACTGATTAATTAGTTAACATATAATGTGAGGCATCTTAATATCTATAGTATCTTATTAACCCTTTTACAATGGGTTCTTGTATTTTACATGACTTTGTAACCACCATACAAGTAACTTGTACTTATGAAATTTGGCAAGCTTACAGTAACCATTACAAATCTTTTGTAGGCAAAAAATCAGAATTCTTAATTAAGTATTTGTACTAAAAATTTGTCCATAAATATACAGAGTCAGAGCATTGACTGTTCCAAGTGCAAAGTGATATTGATGTAAATCTATAAAACCTCCTAAATAAGTATTAAACATTGTTTTTTTTTCAGAAAAACTTTACTGAAAAAAACTCTATGCCATGTCAACTTGACCAACCTCGTAATGCCATAAAAAATTAGGAAATAAATCTAAATTACCCTTTTACTTTCTAGAACGACTGAAAATTGTAACAGGAAACCACAATTGTTTATCCCAAATAGCTTAGAGCTCTTAGCAGTATACATCTATTTATACATAATTTTATTGTTTTATTGCAATTTGAGGCATATGTGGCTAATAATCTCACCAGAGAAGTTGTAAATCACTCAGTGAATGTGCAGCTCACAAATACCATATTGAATTACATAAGGCATTAGCTGCTTGCAAGCATTCATTGTGAAGAATTTTTTTTATTATTATTTTTCGTTACCTTACTTAACCCTTTCCACACTGATCATTGATGTCATGATTCTCATACTAAGGGAGACTAAGGGTTTTTTTAAATATTTCCTTATAAAATTAAGAACTTAAAACCTATATAATATTAAAATATAATTTATCAACAATGTTTTGACACCAAGGTTATTTGTATACGTTGATAACAAAGTAGTTTAATTACATTTTGACTTACCAGTTATGAAAGGGTTAATGGTACCATACCATGTGATGTATAGGTCAGTATGTCCTATGTTTATTCTTATTCACAACATACTTTTACACATGAACAAGACACATATTTCACCTGTCTTCAGCTTGTCTCAAAATGGGTATATAGTTGTTATAGCTTCTCTTGAAATGGGTATGCACTTGTTATCTACTTGCGGGGTAAAGCATGATTAAACCTATAAAAAGAATATTGCTCCATATGTCATTAATCCACTACTGTTCTCAGGAACATTGTATATGAGCTACTTTGTAGTTTTCTATGATCAGAATGCCTCACTGGGTCTCTAGCATAATGACCAGCTTCGCAAAGTCGTTTTTTACTGTCTGTACACTGATACAAAACTTCTGATTCAGTTTTAAAGTAGCAAGCCAGAATTGATAAACAGCACGCACCTGCTTAAAAGTTTGACGATGGTATGCCTTGTAAAGATGTCTAAGTAACTGTATTCTAGGCTTAAAAGCAGTTCAATATTCTTCTAATGACACTGCTGTGACTAGCCAGTTTCCATATGTATGACAGTTCTCCAGATTCATGAAACATCTGTCTTCTTTGAGAAATAACCATGGTTCATGAACAATATGGAGCATTTTAAACTCTGTCAGTTGCTTCAAAGTGACAAATGAGAAAAGATGCATGAAACAATTGTACTCAGCTTAGGCTGAATGCCCAATTATATATTTTAGGTTATGTGACACATCATAAGATACCTGAGCTACATAGAAAGAAGATGAGCAATAGGTGATTAACATTATTGTTTTGTTTAGCTCCAATCATCCTTTGCTTTATACAGTAATTCTGATGCAAGTTTGTTATGTTTTCACAGATTTTTCTTACAACAAAAATAGGCATACCTGTAATTTTCTTGCCATGGCTACAACATCATGATCAGGTGGATTATACTTGTAACAATTGGTAAAAATTAATCTGATGTCTGATACAAATTCTTCCGGTGACTTGTACTTTCCAGTTTCAAGCTTTTCCTGAAATTAAATATGAAAAGAGTTAACAATCTTTTGGCTTTTACTTGCTTTTAGTTATTGAAATTTATACTAGATAATAAATTAGTGAAAATTACAATGTCATTTGGGGGGGTGGGGGGTGATCAAAGCTTTTGCAAGAGGTTTTATGTATTTTATTTTAAACATACACATAATAATCTTTTAAAAATTTTATCAGAAAAAAGTACCAGTAAGATAGCTTGTTTGTTATGAAAGCAAAAAAAGTAAGCACTTGTGTCACTGTGTGGTATCTTACAGTGTTAAATAGCAAAAATAAGGTAAAAGATGATGAGATTGCTTAAAGAACTACTTTTTTCACTGAAAGTTAAATCACAGTAACTCAAGAATGTGAACTGAATTGGAAATATGAAAACTAAAAACATTGTACATAATTTTGCAAACTATAAAAAAATATATTTTTAAAGTTAATTTTCTTCACCCTCATGAGACTAATTTTGAAATTACTTTGCAGCAAATGTTTGATATTTGAAACTCTTATGGTTAGTTTTTTTTTCCTTATCACTTTTCTCAGTTACTGAGACAAATTCATTGCCTCTTTTCATCAAATGGCTTTTTTCTTTTTCCTATCTCTCACCTATTTTATAACTTGTGTATACAGTATAAAAAAAGTACAATAAAAATCAAAACAAGATATTTCAATTACAGCTCTAATAAATAAATGCTAAGCCTGAAAAGATTTATTTCATATTATTTAACCCATGGGTTTCTGATAAGTAATCCTGTAAATCACACGTACGTATTCATTATTACAGAATAATTTAATCTGTCATTATAGATAGAATAATTATAATAATATATTATAATATCATTTTCTACAATAATTACAAACCATCTGATAAACAATACATTCCATAGAAAATGTGCAACTCAATAAATATTACCAGAATGTTAAGTTATGTTAACTTTTTCAACCCGGGCTCGGTCGTTGGGACCAGCCTCATAACCATTTTGTGCTTGCTATAGTTTTCATGCTATAACTTTTAAATTAGTAAGTGATTGTTAATGAAATTTGGCAGTTTATCAGTAAACATTACAATGCTTTCATATGCAAAATATCTAATTTTTTTATTAAGTTTTAAGGTTTGTAAAGCAATGTTTCTCTCATGCCTTTTTTTTTTTCTTTTCACATCTTGCCTATCTATCATGCAAAGTAATTTTCATCTTTACATTAAAAATACTTTTATGCATCAGAAAATTCCGAAATTTCTCATGCAAAATCTTTATGATGTCTAAATAGTTATCAAGCATTTCTTAAGAAGAAACTTTATATTTTATCTGTTATTTTCAGTAACTAATCTCTGCACGGGTTTGGTAAATTTGACTGATCTCGCAACCACAATAAAAACTAGGAAATAAACACGTGATGTTACTCCTCAACCAAAATCATCCGTATATTCCCTAACTATGAATTTGAAAGTTTGAACCCCAATAAAAATCATTTTTGATCCATTTTTTGTTTAAAAAAAGATTGTACTTTGTACAAGAGAAATGTTAGTACAATCCACCTAAAGAGGTTGAAAATATCAGGAGAGGTTCACTTTTGTGATTGGCTTTATTCACTAAATGTTCTAACATGGACAAGTTGCACCTCTGTGCTGCTTTATGCACATAAATTTGGAATGGCTATGTAGGGTAACACAGTACAGTGTATAGAGCTCAGCTAGTTACATTACCACACATTGTATTGTGTGATGTTTGTATACATATATATATGAGCGGGTGGGAATTCATAATGAAAACAAATGCCGATAACATAAATATTTAGTGAGATTAAATTCTAGTTTAGATGCTTACTAACATGGCTGTCTCAACTTGTTACTGATAAACCTTTGGTAGGAACTAAAATGATCAAGTGTACAAAATCAAACTCAGAATTTTCATCGTTAATCATCACAGTTGAAACACTGACCCCTTTCGATTACACATGTATAGGCCTAAGACTAATGTTAGACAGACACAACCGAGTCTATGAAATATAAAAGGCCTAGCTACCATGAGAAAAGCAGGAAAATTCACGAATTAAATATAGAATAATAATGACAACTGCAAACAAAATTTTATGAAAGTTTTAATCAATACAAAACAGAACAATAAATAAAATAAGGCTAGCTTTTCCTCTCTCTCCAGGTTAATACAAACTACGAGTATGAAAGACAAGACATATCAACGACGTATTTGTGTACATATGCAGCACCTAGACATCGTGTACCTATTACAGTATAGTAGTTAGTATGTGTGCAAATCTATTCTTACTACAGGCTGTACTTGGCAGGCAGACCAAGCTGATTAGAATGAAAACACTGAACATAATTGGCCAAAATAGCTGTTCTGTTTAAAAGTTTTACGAGTCACTGGCTATTTGTTTCCTTAAGATACTATAAAATTACGCATGGTTTGGGCTTATTTTTTCCAATATAATAAAACTTCCTGGGAAATAAGGCATCAAAAATAAGTTAAATAACAATGAAAAATTGACAACTTAAACATTAATTGTACTTTTTTTGAAATAAATAAGAAATAAAAACATCAAAATTTTTGTAATTGGATCCTTTTTATGGTCTTTGTACATCAATATTGTCATAATTGGATCTGTTTCAGGGTCTATGTTTTTTTTTGGACAACCTCTGATACAGATCAGGTTCTCCTTCAGACAATCTGGAAATTTCATTAAAATTGAGCCCTGGACTAGCATGAATTATAAAAGACATATTGAAAAAAGATGACATAATACATTTACCTTAACATTTCCTAAGTCCATTGGATGCTTTATAACATCAAGGTAGTCTTTCAATCCAGGAAACACAGAACTAACAGGTTTATAAAATGGCCAGGCATAATCCTTAAAAACAAAATTCATTACTCTACATTTTAACACCTTCAAGAAATTTCAATGTCACTCACTTAAAAGGTATTGAGTGTACTTAAAGCATAATCCCCACTGCCAAAATCTGTAACATTGAAACACAATTTAACTACCAACTGAACTCATCAGCTTTAGCACTGTGTGTAATACCCAATAAGAAGTCATGTATCACAACCATATCTGAACTTTTAATAATATTCTTGAGAAAATATTAATATTCTGAAAGCATATTTTCTACATATATAATTTAATATTTATTTAACTTTTATTTAACTTTATATTTAACGTAAAATTTCAACTCTAAATTTCTATACATTTCATAATCTTACAACCTTGAAGTTTTATATCCTTTAGACTAATTTTTGTCAATTTCCAATACATTTATTTCATGCCTATTTCCTAATGTTAAAAAAATAAAACAATAAAAATTTTAAAGTTTCAGCTAAAAATTAAATAACTTTATTGTTGGATTTCACATAAGGGTTATCTACACTAATCATCCTTAGTTTTGGAAGTCACAGACTAGAGGGAAGGCAGCTAGGCAACTCTTTGGCTACTCTTGACAGTTTGTTGATAAGTACAAAGCTACACCATGGGCTATCTTTGCTGTGCCCACAATGGGTACTGAAACAAAGTTTTTAGCATTATAAGCCTTTAGATTTACCACTGAAACACTAGTGGACTACTCCTGACAGACCAAAAAGTTGAATTTGAGTATCTCTTATAATGTACCCATGGTCCCAAAATGATTAACACAATTTCTAAATTTTTTGGTGCTAATGGGACAGGAACCATAGAACCTCAGCTCCACACTCTAGCATGCTAATCACTGGCCACACTCATCCAATTAAATTACAATACATTCTTATGCATTTCACAATGCCTTGAATGCATGCATGTTAAAATATAACTTATAAAATATATAGTCAAAATTAAAATTCCTTAAATAACAGTGCTTTCATATTGGTCATTTTCTATTTTGATAAAGGATAAATCACTATAAAACTGAAACAGGTTTGATACAAGAAAACGGCTTAAAACATAACCAAAAGTTAACATTTTCTTATGTTGAAAATGTATTCCCAATAGATACCTACTCATCTCACAAAAATCTTTCTTGATTTATACTGACCTCTATTGGTTCAAATTTTCACTTGACACTCCCACTTACCCTCACATATGTTAACATGAAATATCTGTATACTAACATGCAAATGATTATGCAACAACCCTCCACCAACAGGAGTGCAATACTACCCTTATCATAACTAGTGGCTTCTCTATTCTTGCAACTGTTAACTACTTCAAGATTGGTCAGATCCCACCAAACCACACCAGCAGTGAGGAGGAGAGGGGGAGAGGAGGTATGTATCTATTGGAAATACATTTTCAGTATAAGAAAATGTTAACTTCTGATACAATATTTTACCTCTTCTCACAAAAAGCTACAACATTGAACAGGCAGAGGACCGGTGAGAATATGTTTAGGAACTTCCCGAAGGAAATCCATGGGGTGTGGGAAGGAACTAATAAAAACACACCCGTGGAAGACCACACCACTTCTGAGCCAGGTATACTCTTCACTTTTTAATAATGTGTTGCCAAACAGGCAAAAATAAAGGAGAGACCCCAATAAAAGTTACAAAATAATGGGAACCCCCTTGATGTAGAGTTGCTAGGGTGCAACAGACCCTAAAGGGGAGTTTGACCACAACCAACATCTGGCAGCATCTGGAATTGTACATCAGTTCCATGATAGGAAGAGGGTCCTCTATCTTTCACCTCAAGAATGGATACCAGCAGGGAAGAGAAATTTCTGTACCAAGAACCTGCCTCCGCAGGTGCCCACTTCCAACATAACCAACACCAGATTCACCAGAAACCTATATCCGGTGGACAGCAGGAGGGTCCAGATGGGTGTCTCCAGTTCAAAAGCTGGCAGCATTGGGAACTTTTGGTCCAGTCTACAGTAGGAGGAGGGTAACCAACCTTATAACTGTGGGAGGTCATGTGTTTCATCCAGCTAAAACCAACACCAGATCCACCAGGAACCAACATCCAGCAAACAGTAGGAAGAGGGGTGGCTATATAGGATGTACCTCCAGTCCAAAACTTGGTAGTGTTGGAAATTTATTGTACAGTCAGCAGTAGGAGAAGGGTAACCATCCATACACATGAGGACCCATGTGGCTGGTACGGCTCCAACCAACACCCG